AGGGAGATAGTAGGGGAACCCATGAACAAAGGAGTCAGACACCAGGGTAGAGGGGTAAGGGTTTATATGAGCCATAGTCTAAACTCCTAGTATCCCCCTTAATAACCACTATAGTATCCCCCCTAATCTCCTATATAACCCCTTTTAAAGACTGTAGATTCTGGCTCATATGCGGGTTTCTGAAAAATCCCTGCGTCCCTTCACCGGGATGTAAATGAAGCCACGATCTTGCAGAGACATTCCGATGAGGCCTGAAGCTTGGGGAAGTGTCTTCAACAGGTAGATAGACTTCATAGTGCTAACTATAACGAACAGCAACAAGGTGAGGCTATAGGACATTACCTAGTTGTAACATGGGCTTATCTCTACCTCTGCATTGGGACTTCAGAAATCCGAGTTCGGACAACACGTGCGCTCTCTTGGTACCTCCCTAAACGCTAAGCCGCTAAACCTTAAACCTTGAATCCTAACCCTAAACCCTAAACCCTAAACCCTAACCCTTAGTACTGTAGTCCTTACCAAGGTCCTGCGGTCCCCCCTCGCCCCAACAGGGACTGCCCGTCCCAACCCCTTGAAACCACGTAGCTACATTACCAAGTACTGTACAGCTAGGATACCCGATAACCTGGGACCAAAAAGGTCCCCCTGTTTGAATCTAGTTTCTTTTCATACAGAACCTAGGACCCCCAAAAAAGGGGAAGAAAGTGTTTGCTCAACACCCCGTGATAGTAAGTGTGAAAAGCAACAAGTGGAGCTAGCGTCTTCATGTCGGAGCCCTAGGCCCCAAATTAGGGTTTAGGGTTGAAGGTTTATGGTTTATAGAGTTTAGGGACCCTCACTTCAAGCATTCGCGCCACTGAAATTCAAAACGAGCATAGCTCTCCCTAACCCCTAAAGCCCCAACCCTGTAATCCTAAAGCTGCCACACCCCAAACCCTGAACTTCAAACAGCCGCAGACCCTAACGCCTCCTCTCTCCTCCTGCTACTACTTAGTAGTAACAAGAAATAATGACCGGAAGAATCATCAACATTTTGCATCTTCTTATTCTTGCAGGCACGGTCACTATTGCAAATCGGCAGCTCCTTGTCCTTGAGCTTCAGGCTTACCCAGCCTGATTTTGGACCTGACTCTCTCGTCTCTCTGGGCTGACAGGGGTTTACTCCAGGTAGGTCAATCAGGATACATAGGCCTTAAACCCTAAACCCCTAACCCTTCAACCCCAAAAACCCTAAACCCTAAACCTTAAACCCTGCTGGGAAGTTTTGACTTTCTGGCTTCGAGTAGCAGAGCATCAAATGGGAAAGAACATGGAAGATAAAATGGAAACTGGGATGAGATAGGGATGTGAGCTATAGTCTCAACGCTTAATATCCCCCATACTAGCCCCCAAGTCGTCGCCTGTAAAATCCCCTATCTATTAAGGAGCTTAGACAATGGCTCATGCAGTGTTTAGCCCTCTCGATGGTAACTATGGGAGACTATAGAAAATTACCTGTTTATCGCTTGGGGTGTTGCCTACCTGCAGTAGGGTTAACGTACTCACTGGTGCTTCAGGGGCGAGTGGGAAGTAGATCCGTTTAATCATCAACCTGAAGCTCCCTATCATGGTACCTATTTTCCAAACACTAAACACTAAACCCTCCTTATCAGGGTATCTATATTATCCCCAACTCCCCCCCTTAGCACCAGTAAGTTGAAGGGTCAAAGGCTTTGGATTAAAAAGTTTATGGTGACGGCTTTGAAGCTAAAAGAGCCGTGGCCAAAACCTTTTTAACCTTCGTTCTCGTATCAATCACTATCGCGGAACCATACATTTTTCTGACACGGTCTCAGCAGCGCCATCGCCTCGCGAGCTCTTGCTGTTCTTTTGCAAGTGATGCGAGCTACCGCGAATGAGACATGAGTGAAAACCGTCTCAACTTCGACACTGCTGAATGACAAGTCTGCTTCTGACATGGGGGTCTCCCAAAATTAGGGGTAGCCTTTTGGGGGTTCCCATAACAAAGATTAGAATATTTGGGGGTCTATATTGGAGTCCCCCGTTACCGCAGCGTCTTTGCACCGCAGGAGATTGAGCATAGGGGGCTTGGCCGGGCTTGGTCTAAATTACTGTTACCTAAATGTGAGAAACTTTTATATGTAGGGACAAGTATCGTAAGAGGAAGCCCACTATGGGGGCGCTGTGCTATAGTGAATGTAGGGAAACTCACTTCCCTTTTTGTTGTGTAATAGGACTGACCAAAGCATGTACCTTGAAAGACGACTGGACCTGCTGCGGAGTAAAGCCTGCCAAAAGCGAGTTGAACTGGAACATCTTAACTTCGGAAATAGCTCAACTAGGCTTTAACAGGATCTGAGAACATAGATCCTGCCAATTGGTCGCCCTAAAACGCTACAGCACTTGATGGGATTCTACCGCAGAATTTTCCGTTTCAAATCCGGTTGAACGTGCCCGTCATGTTGGCATACAAGCAGCTAGCATGCTTTACTATACAGTTGCAAAATCAGGTACAGAGTATGAGGGGATGGTATTCCCCATATGCCGACCTCGACATTACCATACTCCTTGCACCATCAATCCATTGACCCTTGGAATCTTGATGCCGGTACTATTCATATATCCTCCCTTTTGCATGTGCCTGCATAGCCACGGGTAGAATGATTAGGGTTAACCCTAAACCCCTAAAAGAAAACCTTGAGCCATAAAACCCTAAACCTCTTAACCCCTGAATCTCCGAAACCTCTGAACCCTCAACCTCTTAACCCCTGAAGCTTGAAATTCTAAGCCCGAAAAACCATGATCTCCATTACTTAGGCACAAACATTACCTAAACCCTAAACCCCACAATCTCTCTTACTTGGCCACAAACATTTGACTTTCATCAGGCCTTTGCCATCGGCAAGCTCGAAATGTAGGCGTTCGCCTTCGAGCTTCAGCTCCTGAAAAAGGTTGAGGTTTAAGGTGTAGGCTATGGTTTTGGGTTTAGGGACTCAAATGGGAACCCCAAACAGGGAACCCCAAGATCGTAGTAGGAATTACATAGAAATCTAAGGTGTAGTCCTTCGATATTCCTGCCATCTTGTGTAAGCCTTGATAGGTATATGGGGTTCCCAGTCAAGTCCCTTTATCCTATAGCCAGGTCACAGATGATAGCAGCCCTTAGACCCTCTTGCGATCACAGTAGTAAAGGGTACCCATTGGGATTAGGGCTTAAGGTTGAAGATTTAGGCTTGAGTTTACGGAGTATAGTCCCCCCCCCAAAAAAGTACACCCCTCCCCCCTCAAGGTACAAGGAGCTATAAAGTCAAGAAATATAGGTCTTACTTAGGCCGAATAAGGTGCTACCATCTGGTGGCGGGCACTCATTGGGGGGACAGCATGGTAACTGCTAGCTACTTGAATCTTCATGAGACTTAGTAACTACGTAAGGTTTAGGGGTTTGGGGTTGGCAAATGTATGTATAACCGCCCTAACTGGGCGAATACAGGATACCCCGAGTATAGGTAAGGTTAGAACCCCAGTTATGACGAGTTCGCAAGTCCCATGAAGCTTCTCAAGTAAGACCCTAAACCCTAAATACAGGCCCAGTGGCTTGATCTAGGTAAGCTGATTGCGCAACATCAGTGGCATCCAAGATAGTTGGTGTGAAAGACTACAATGGTGGGCTTATACAACCCTAATATAACCCTATCATAATGCGTTACAATACAACCCCAAGATAACCATATGCCCTCCATGTTGTGGAGGTCAAGGCATGCAGGATACCCAGAAAGGGCTCATGTAACAAAGCCTTTTAGGGTTTAGGGTTTAGGGGGCTATAGTCTAAAGTCCCTAAAGGCGGTTTTATGGGGGACCATGGGAGTTTAGGCTCTCGCCTACATGGTAGCTTCTCAAAAGCATGGTCCCTCTTGGGGTTCCCATTGTGATACGGCCCCTAACGATCCTAGTAGTTGGGGTAACCCCGAAAAAGCCATGTCGCAACAACTCTTGTGCAAGCTGGCCCTTTTGACATGCGAAGATTGGGCGAGCTTTGCAAAGTGCCTGGCTATTCTTGGCTCTGCTGGCTCAGAGACCCATACGGCCGCTGTTGAGGGCGCCGGCCACGCTGTCCAGGTCCCAAGAGCCCTGTGGTCCCACGTAGCCCTCGGGGAAGAGGGGGAAGAGTGGGCCCTTGACCACCAGGTTGTGATGGACCATGCCGGAGAAGGCTAGCATGGCCAGGCGTCCGTTGGTCAGCTCCTTCACAGCCATCTCTTCGGCAGCAGCCTTGTCAACAGGGAGGAATCGCTTGCCGAAGTTCAGGTCCCCAGGGGCTCGGCTGGCTCCGTCTCCCTCGAACATGTCCAGCATTGTGATCTTGCCACCGTAGGCAGCGCTCTCAATGTAGCCACAGAGGAAGAGCAGAACCCCAGAGGCGTTGAGAGGAGCGGTGTAGACAGCCTGCAGGGCATCAGGAGCCCCTTCGAAGCCTGGCAGCTGCCAGTATTGCTCTGCGACGAAACCAACGCATGCAAGCATGCACACACGGCCATGCTTCAGCTCTGACTCACGCAGCCACTTGATGTCGCAGACGTCCGAGAAGCCAAGAGGGTCAAACTCAGCCTCGCCTCCAACCAGTCCGCCCAAGTTCTGCGGCTTTGGAAGGAAAGGCAGGCTCTTGCTGGAAGAGGCCTGGCAAGCGGTTCGGCTGCCCGAAGGGGTTGGGGCCACCGCGCCGCAGAAGGCAGAGCCGATCCTGGCCTCGTCCTTCTTAGCCACAGCAGACACCTGGACATCAAAGAAGGGCCACTTGTCCTTAGCCCACATGAACCTAGGAAGAAAAAAAGGATCCTTTTTAGAATAATATAAGGAATCCCATACCCCAAAGAGTATAAAAAGGATCTCTAAACCCTATTATATTCCCATAAGATCCCTACCTACCCCTATATCCCACTTGAAAGGATCCCTAAACCCTATACTATCCCTATATAATTCCTATATCCCCCTTTAAAGGATCCCTAACATTGATCCAGTGTCCTGGGTGAGGACAGCTGAGGTCACGATGCCGGAGTATGCCAGCATTGCCAAGCGGCCGTTGCGCAGCTCCTTGACCTGCATGTCCTGGGTTGCTTTAGGGTTTAGGGTTTAGGGTTTTGGGTTTAGGGTGCTTTCAAGGAACTTAATTTAGGTTACTGTATTGGGGAAATCCTGTTAATTAGCATATACACCCATTTTGGTAACTTAGTTCAAGTTCCTTAACAACAACCCAGTGTCGTACTGGCCCTTGGGGTCGCTGGGGTAGAAGCCTCGCAGACCGAAGTCTCCCGGCTTGCGATCGGTCTTTCCCTCACGCATGTTGACATACGCAAAGAGTCCCAGAACCTCCAGGAGACCACCTGGGTTGCTGTTAAGGAGCTTAAATTAAGTTACTATATTGGGGAAACCCTATTATTTACTATATAAACCAGTTATAGTAACTTAATTTAAGTTCCTTAACAGCAACCCAGCCACACCAAATGAGGATCTGAGGCATTCCTCCAAACTTCACCATGGCATCGTGGGCCTCGATGGTGGAGACCTGGAATGCATCCCCTGGCACGCGGAGTCCCAGGTCCGTGGTGATCCATCCAACAGTAGCCTGGACCAGCGGCTATCTAGGGTTTGAGGATTTAAGCTTTGAAGGTTTGGCGTTCAGGGTTTGGGGTTTAGGGTTTGGGGTTTAGGGTTTGAGGATTTAAGGGCCCTTGATAATGACTTGTAAATTGTGACCCCAAAATACTTGGTAAACAGGCGACTGTTTGGGAGGTCCAGGAGGAAATAATTTTGCCTCCATAAGGAAACCCTAGCATGCTAATGATGTCAGAGTCTCGCGACGGCCCTCCTATGGCAGATGTGACCCTACGTGCCTCACAGTTTGAACGAAATCCTTCAGTAGCCCCAAACCCTAAACCCTAAATCCCTAAATCCCTAAACCCTTAAAACCCTTAAAAGCCTTAAAGCCCTTAAAACCCTAAACAGCCCAGCAGCCAGCATAGCAACTCGCCCATGCTTGAGCTCTGCCTCGCGAAGCCAGCCAATCCTTGGAGGCTCTGGGCAGTTGTAACTGGGGTCACTCGGTTTAGGGTTTTAGGCTTTTAGGGTTTTAGGGTTTAGGGTTTAGGGTTTAGGGTTACTCCCCCAGGTTTATATGGCCTTTATGGTTTTTAAAGGGGATATAAGGGTGTTATAGGGATGTTTAGGGTGTAGGGTTACTTGTAGTCATTACCCTGAACCCTAAACATGTTACAAAAAGGGGCCTAAAGGGGTTGACAAGTGGGATATGACTACAGTTCTAACTAGGCGAAGGCCATACCCTAAACCCTAAACAAACAGGTGTGCCACTGTCTAAACTCCTAGTATCCCCCTTAATACACCCTATAGTAGTTCTCTATATAATCCCCTATATAACCCCCCTTTAAGGAGTTTAGACTATGGCTCAGTTAGTGGTGGACAGTCAGGGATCGAGGCATGGATCCCTATAGTTGTCCCGATAATCTGGGTTTAGGGTTTAGGGATCTGGGTTGCTGTTAAGGAACTTAATTTAAGTTACTGTACTGGGGAAACCCTAATTACAATATATACCCATTATCGTGACTTAATTCAAGTCCCTTAACAGCAACCCAGTAATCCCAGATAATACTCCCTATCTTTGGTTCCTTCATTCTCGCTAAGCGGGAGCTAGTTACTCCAAAGCCTCATACTCTAATCTTAAGCAAGTAACATAAGGCTTTAATGTTGAGTTCGCATCTTTCTGGATATCCTACACCCTGAACCCTATCAGACTATCCGCCAGCGAGAACCATGTTCCCTACAATTATCTTCGATATTGGGTTCGAAGGGCCCAATCAAAGCCCTTTGCCTGATCGTTAAGCCGTAATCCCTAAGCCCTAATCCCTAACCCTAAAACTTAATCCCTAAATCCTAAACTCTTAGACCCAAACACCGAACCCGAATGCTTAAACCCTAAACCTTAATCCTTAACCCTAAACATGAAATGGGTGGTTGTCAAAATCATGGTCCCTTTTTGGGGTCCCTATTATAGCACGGCACCTAATATTTAGGGTACCCAAAAAGGGACAATAATTTTGACAACCACCCAAATCCCTCCAGGCGTCTCGAAGGCTAAGGAGAAGCCCATGGGGTCGAAGCCCTCCTCTTCACCTCTCAGTCGGTTCAGGTAGTATTTAGGGTTTAGGATTTAGGGATTAGGGTTTAGGATTTAGGGTCTAGGATGTGTTGGTCAGGGATTAGGAGTTAGGGGTTAGGGTTTAGGGATTCCGGTTTAGGGTTTAGGATGCAGGGTTTAGGATCTAGCGTTGATTTCCGGTTTAGGGTTAGGGGTTGGGGTGGAAGGTTTAGGGGCAAGGGCTTTGGGATTACAGGATTTAGGGTTAGGGGTGTGGGGAGTAAAGTTTAGATGTAGGCTTTAAGGTCTGGATGTATAGGGTTTAGGCTTCAGGGGCGTGTATAACTGTATAACTACTCCTAAAGGGCCGAGGTACCCATATAGTTTGTGCTTGGGATTTAAAAAGGCTTCTACGTGGTTGCGTAAGACCTAGGTATAAGGCGCGTAGATACCCCGGCACCTTAGTTCTAGGATGGGGCTTGGCTTGGGGAAAATTTCGGCAGCATCACGTTGAGGCTCGAGGGAGGTACCCTACACTACACTCACATAAGGAATCTAGGAGCATAATATCGGTATTTATCACCCCAAAAACCCTATGGAAACCCCTCTTCCATATCAATTTTCCATCTTCTTTCCCATTAAATTTTGAACCCCTGCTGCCTAAACACTAAACCCTAAATCCTAAACCCCTAAACCCTAAACCCTAAACCTAAAACCCTAAACCCTAAACCCTAAATCCTACACCCTTTTCGCAACCACATGCCTGGGATTCCCTCCAAGGCGGGGGACATGGGAAGGAAGGGAACGGCGGCGCTCATCTTGTAGCCCGCCTGCCTGGCTGTTGAGGGATTTAGGGCTTAGGGTTTAGGGCTTAGGATTTAGGGTCTATGGTTTAGGATTTAGGGTTTAGGGTTTAGGATTTAATGTTTAGGATTTGGGGTGTAGAGTTTAGGGATCAGGATTTAGGCTTCAGGATTTAGGGTTTGTCTAGGGCCCAGGGCTTAGGATTTGGGAGTTCTATCGGGGCTGTATGTCTAGGAGCGGACAAAGACATGAAATAGGGAGTATACAGGGGTATCTAGGGATATGTATATGAAGGTGCGGGGCTGGGGAAATTTTAGTATAGAGAATGGTTTCGCGTCCTATGGAACCACTATAAAAGTCAATATGATCATTACGCAATCTCATATAGCACTTGTAGAAAGGTTTCATAAACGCCCTAATAGAACCTCTTTATCACGCCCCTAGAGCTCCTTTCGAACCACACCATAGTACCCCTAAACCCTAGACACTACGCCTTCATGCTCAGGTAACTACGAATCATAAACCTAAAGCCTTGAACCCTAAACCCTAAAGCCACAACCCTATAGAGGCCCTAAACCCTAAGCTTTAAAGCCTAGACCACAGGGGCCTAAATGACTACCAATATCATTTGGAGGTCCATTTGAGGTACAATAGACCATAATTAATCATATAAGGAATATGGAACCATAATATTGGTAATTATTTAAGATAACCCCAATATACCCCTAATATAACTCCAATATAATATAGTAGTTTCCATTTTTTGTCCATTATCCACAAATAGAACCAAAACCTAAACCTTAAACCGCATTGTTTAGGCCCCTATATTACACTATCCCCCTTAACCACGACCTTGCCTGGCCACGGCACCACGCTGGTTCATGCTGCGGCCCGCGGCCAAAGAGCCAGTAGCCTCAAGGTCTTTTTAGAATTAAGGAGTTTAGAGTTTAGCTCTTAGGGTTTAGGGCTTAGGCTTTAGGGCTTAGGGCTTAGGGTGTAGGGTTTAGGTTTTAGGCTTACGTAGGGTTGAGGGTTAAGGGGGTTTAGGGTTGTAGGCTGAGGGTTTAGGGCTCAGGTCAAAAATGAGGCTGTTACTGTAATCCCCTTAGAAGGAACATAAAGTCAATATTCATTTCAATATTTCCTTGGGGATAAGCTATAAAACGAGTAAACATGATCATTGAAACATAGGGTTTGCGGGCTAGCGGAAATTTCAGGTGCGAGTTGCCGGGTGGGTACCGTTACGTGAGACTTGTGGGGATCCTAGCAGTATTTAAGCGCTACATAAGGCGTAAAGGGAGGAAACTACCAACTTGAAATGACCTTGAGTTTGCTTTGCTGAAGGTAGTTAGCCCATATCAAGGGACTTAGGGGACCTATAATGAGTTATACGTGTTATAACCGGGTTATGACTGTCCTGAATCTCCCAGTAGGGTTTGTGGAGCTTCAGGGCGTCAGGATGATCCAAGCGAAAGCAGTATTATCTAGATCTTTAAGATTTGGATGGAAGCTTGTCCCAACGTCATGGGACTGTTTAGGGGGTGCCAATAATTACTTTACTTGGACCCCAAAATAACCACCCGTTAGGAAACCCCCGTCTTGTTTTTGGCCGCACAAGCAACCCCTAAACCCTAAACCCCAAACCCAAAACCCTAGTCCCTAAACCCCTAAGCCCTAAACCCTACATCCCTAAGCCCTAAACCCTAAACCCTAAATGCCTAAACCCTAAATCCCAAACCCTAAAATTCTGAATCTCCGGGCCTTCGACACGGATGAGCTGAGGGCACAGGTGGACTCCTTCTGGGCATAAAGCCAAGGGAAGCCGTTTCCGGTGAGGGTGGCCTGTCACAGGTTTAGGGTTTAGGGCTTAAGGGTTTGGGGTTTAGGGTTTGGGGGTTTACGGGTGGCACTTAGGACCCTACTAAGGATCAACCCTTAGGTACCTACAATAATCCCAAAGGTTGAGGGTCTCAGGTCTAAGCTGAGTTCCAAGTAGGGTATAAAGCATGGAGAAGACAACGACACCGCCATTCGGGATTCAGCGTTCAGAGTTGAAGGATTGTGCGCTTTTTGTGGGCGCTTGACTGGTAAATCCTTTGAACGCGCTCTCCCAAAACACGCCATCAGGAAGATCTGATGCACCTGGGGCTGAATGAAAGCTTGCTGTAAACCAGAGTCTGGGTCAGGAAGAACAATCTTGATACTAAAGCTTCTGCGTTACCGCAGTGTGCTGTAGCATCGAAAGTTTTGGTGCATAACGCACCAATGGTCAGGCTGGGTTTTAGGTATACCCTAAACCTAACCCAAAATCCTAAACTCTGAACCCTATGAGCCCTAAACCCTAACTGTAAAACCCTAAACCTCAAACCCTAAACCCTAAACCCATTAGCAAAGGGAACTCCGGCCTGAGTAATGGCTCCGCCGAAGGCCAACATCGCCAGGCGCCCGTTCCTGAGCTAAGTTTGAGGTGCAGGATTTAGGTTTTAGGGTTTAGGGGCCTAAAAATGATTACCAATCTCATTTTGGGGTCTAGTTGAGGCACCCTATACTATAATTATGTAAGGGCTCTTAGCACGATGACACAAGCAAGTATTTAGGCACCTGCAGTACTGCTTTGGACAACAGTGGGGAATTTCATATGCATGTTATGAGTACTACATCCACTGCATCAGTTTAGGACCTAGGAGCATATGAATCAACACTAAACCCTAAATCCCAAACCCAAATCCCCTACGTAAACCCCAAAATGGTAGTTTCCATTTATTTTCCAGCAAGGACTCCTACTTCGAGATTTTGGGGTATTCCCACGGCTTGAAACCTGAGCGCTGCACCTCTTTAAGTTAAGTTTTCATACTTCGGTTATTTCCCCTGATGGTAGCAGTTCCCACAATTGAGTAGCGACGTTTTGATGGTTGAAACTAGTAAAAGAAGATTCCTTGTATAAAAAAAAGTATACCCGCAAGGAGGATGTAATCCTGTTCTACATTGGGTACCATAGTGTTATTCACGGACTTCTGTCGGGTGATCAACCGTCTTAGCACCGGGACTCTTGCCCGGGCCTTTGAAGGGAAAGAGTATCGGTACCATAGTATCCCCAAATAAAAAAATTACACAAGTGATGGTAGGAGTTCTAATAGCCCCGCAATCAACCCCCTTTGAGCACAGCTACTTGCTGGGGCATGCTGTGCATCATTGTCGAACAACTTTGCTCTACACCTGAACCCTAAACCCTAAATCCAAAATCTAAACCCTGAATCCTAAACCCTAAACCCTGAACCCTACACCCTTGCGATCCCCAAACCTTCTAGTTTACCTCAACCTCGAAAGCAGTTGGGTCAGCCCCCCACTCAGTAATGGGTACCACAAAGTACTATTGTGGGTATACGGTTTACGGGCTTCTAGGTTTAGGGCTTAGGGTTTAGGGCCCTATGAATTCCATATTTGGGGGCCATTGCTGTAAGCCTGAGAAAGCAGGAAGATGGCGGCCCAAAACCCCTAGTATGATGAACAAGCACATGACTCTGAGCAATCACCTTTGATGGTACTGCCCTCACTGAGGAACAGTTGCAGAATAAGTGTAATATGAATGTTTAGCCCTAAACATGACCCCCACTGTAGACTGTTACTGCAGAGGGGTAAGTAATACCCCCGCCCTAAACCCGAAACCCTAAACCCGAAACCCTAAACCCGAAACCCTAAACCCTAAACCCGAAACCCTAAACCCTTAACCCTAAACTCGAAAAACTAAACCCTACACCCGAAACCCGAAACTCGAAACCCTAAACCCTAAACCCGACACGATGAGGCCCCCCCTAGCCCTCATAGAACCCTGTAACAAACACCACAGACCAACCCTCGAAGATCCACAAACACA